GACACGACCCTAAGCTAATAAATGAATTATTCTTAAATATACACCCAAAAAAATAAGGAGAAAATTCAACCCACACGTTACACATTTTATTAGACATAACCGACTGCGTGTATCAGACCAACGGTAATGTTTTACACAGTTTTCAAGGGATATAATATTATGCAACCAATTACACATATTATTATACCCGTGGCACCTATAAGGCTATACTATTGTTTCTAAACGACAAAAATACGTAATTCGAATTTAAATGAACATCCCACTTGACTTTTAATTAAGATATAGGTACCTGCTGATAATATATTAGATTATTTTTTTTTAATAACATTTTCTTGGACATTTAGACAGTTTAGAAAGAGTGATTTATTTGTCTTTAAAGCTGTTTCGGTTGCAGTTAACTTAAAATTTACGAGTTTTAAAAAAAAAAAAAATTACTGTCTCAGTTTTAACGTGGATTAAGAATTCACTCTTTATGTATTATAAATTATTAAGTATTTAATATTTCAATATCATAATTTTATTATTTTTTTGCTATCCTAAACGACTGAACCAAACTGGTACCTATCACCCACTATTCGTAACTGTTTGTAGTAAAATTATTGTTATTACCTATACACTATCAGCTATAAATAATAATAAGAATACGTAAAAAAAAACTCTGTAATAAACTATTTGTTTTGAGCGCCACGCAATGATTTAGTGTTCGAATATTACGGGCAATTAAAAACAAAAAACAAGGCGAACATAAAGTATAATAATAATAATAATATGTCTACGGTATTTGTATTGCGATATAAATTTATATAATGTTTAATTTTCGACGAATAATTGGTATAATTGCAAACAATGTAATAAAATACAATGTATAGTGGTAACTGCGGATAAAACCGTTATGAAACATTCGAGTTTCTAACTACAGTGGTGTTGCCTGTAACGCCAATACATGATGTATAAATCATTATAATAATATTATATACCACGATACCCAGATAAATTATTGATAACCAAACGCGGAGAAAATGTTTAGATTCTAGGACTGGTATAACACCAAAACGCAATTTCGCCGTTTATGTAGGGTCGATACTATAATAATATGTATAATATCGATTCGTACAGTGTTGGTTTTATTTAAGTCATTCTCTGCTGACTGCTATATTAAGTACCTATACCTACCGATTCAAATACTTTTTGGTATTTCAAAACCATTTTAAATATACGTTTAAAAATTATTAATAATGTAAAGTATATTATTTTAAATAATATGTTATAGTCATTTTATCAAATTTAAAAAAAAATCCAAACTAAATTTTATGAAAGTTTGGATTCACTCAATTAAAAAAAAAATATTTAATCATAACAGTACTAAAATATTTATGTGTCGTATGCTATCTACCGTATCTAAGTTATCTAGGTACCGTAATCCGTATTGACGGTATCGATATTATATTTCTATGTATTATGAGCTTTCAAAGTTATTTTTATTTTATATTTTAGTATGTGTTAGTTGATCGCCGAGATCAAACGTCGTAGTTGTGTGTTTTTTATTAATTGTAAATTTATGGTTTTAGAAAATGAGTACTTTGGGTGAATTATATAGAAAAATTATTTTTAATGACGAAACTTGTATACAATTTTTAAAGGATCGAGATTTATTACCTAATACAAAACTGTGTACAAAGTTTAATTATATTGGAGATCAATGTAATGGTGAAATGAAAGGAACTTAAAAAAAATCCAAAAACGTGATGTGAAAGGAGATATTATTAGAACAAAATATTTAAGATGTAAAAAAAAAGGTTGTCAAACATTTATTCAAAGGGTTGTCATAACATCCATTTATTTGGTAGATAGTATACGACACGTATGAGTAGATTTTTGTAGATATGATTTTCATGGTAGATAGCATACGACATGAGTGCCATAAAACGTCCATAAGCAAAAATACTCTGGTTCAGAAAAGCTCTCTTATTTATTATGTAAGTATAATGTAATTATATATAGTTATTGAAAAGGTATCTAAATATTTTTTATTCATGTACCTACATACGGCTAATGACTATACCTAACAATTACCTACTTTAATTTAATTTAAAAATCGTTTTTAACAAGACATAACCTAACCTAACCTATGTGGCTACAACGACATTACAACATCGTCAAACGCCGGAGATTATTATAATAAATATCTCAACGTCTTACGCAGATTAAAAATTGTACAGTATAATATATTACAATATCAGACGTGCGGAATCGTTTTCGTAAGATTTATCGTCGTGTTCATCGACAGAACCATAATATTTTATTCTCACGCCCACATACCATAATTTTATTTACCAATGATACCCGTATATCGTCGAGTACCAACCGTGCGATGTTGTTGTTGTTAACCTATAATATTATAATAATATTGCGTACCGGGGATACCTTCAACTTCGATAAACAGACCGGAGCAGATGTTTATCGTCGCTAAATTATTATATGTCCGGTGCGACAACGGGTCTGTCTCGGACGTCCGGCGCATGCGACCTATGATCATCAACGACATTATAGTACCCAGAGGACAACATAATATAGGTATACACATACACGAGCTGACCCGATGAAAACACCATAGTAGATATCATTATTATTGGGCTATAGCAGTATTACAACATTTGATTCCGGTATCTGGTGTTTGTCTACTATTATACTATATACCGTGTCGTGTATAGAGTTGAATATATTATACTCAACTTTTAAGTAACGTTTTACTGACATTGTAGATTTTGAGTGGAACGATGAATGTATTGATTTTACAATGATTTATGTTGTTTTTTTATTATTTTTTTTGTGTCTGTCATCACGTTTTAGGACAGTAAAAGTGCTTGGATTTTCTTCAACAGTATCTTTTCTGATAGGAAAGAGAATCTAGTTGGTACTTTGGGGGGTCAAAAGGAAAAATTTCCCAGTAGTTTTCACAAGCGACGGGAAAAACAACATAAAAATTAAGGAAAAATAGGAATTTTTACGCAAAATCGGTTTTCCAAAAAATCGATTTTGGTTTTTAGTGCAACTCTTAAACAAATTACCGTAAGTTCATGAAATTTTGACTGAATGTTTATATTAGCATTTTCTATACACCATAACATTTTCCAAATATTTTGACTTATTTTGAGCTCTTTACGGACATTTTCAATTTCCATTTTTGTTTAGTTTTTTTTTTTTTTTAAATATCAATAAAATTTTATTTGTTGGTTAAAAAAGCTTGAAAATTTAATAGAAAGCTCCTAGTATATTGTTTCAAAGGCTGATGAAAATTATTGAAAATCCTTAGTCACATTTTTTTTTTTTTATAAGCATTTTAAGTTCAAAAATTGACAAAATATTGAAAAATTACGAAAATTAGCAAATTATTTTGAGTTAAGAATTCGTAAAAATTTTTCTTTTTAAATCTAAGATTTGAAAATGTAATACAAGATTCCTTATAAGATTATCTACCCTTATCAAAAAAAAAAATGTCTATAAGAAAGTCAAATTAAATTTTTAAGAGCGTTTGAAATTCAAATTTTTACAACATCGGATATTCACTCGACTTCTCATGTAGCGATTTCCTTATTTTGTTGTAATTCAAAAACGAATAACTGTTGATACATTAAAATTTCACTGAATGTTTATATTAGCATTTCCTATACACCATTCAATTTTAAAAATATTTTAACTCTTTTTGAGCTGTTTACGGACATTTTCAGTTTTCAATTTTTGTAGGTTTTTTTTCAATAAATATCAATAAAGTTTTATCTGTTGGGCTAAAAAGTGTAAAAATTGAATACAAGGCTCCTGATATATTGTTACAATATCGGTTGAAAAATATTTTAAATGCATAGGCCACAATTTTTTTTTTTAAGCATTTAAAGATCGAATTTTGACAAAATTTATAAAATTTAAAATTGAATAATTATTTTGTAATTAAAAAATTATAAAATGTTCAGTTTTTATAACTAAGGATTGAAAATTTAAAATGCCACTTTAATAGTTAATTCTGTTACCAAAAAATCTAAAAAAAACATAATCACAGTTTATTTTTATAGTCATTTTAAGTTCAAATTTGGATGAAATTACATAAAAAAAAAACCTAGAATAACTATTTTAGTTATTTTGTTTTGATTGTATAATATTATTCGTGGGTACTTGAAACTTCTAAAGTGTACTATTTTATATCTATGATAGTATCACTGTTCGTTTTTGATGTATAACGCGTTATAAGTAGGTACCTAATGAATATTGTGATATGATTAATTTGGAATTTATTATAGATACATATTATAGGTCAATATTTTTTAAAATACCATAGATATGTATATAATATGTCTTAAACTTAGACTGACATACCGTCACCACTCACCACAGAATCGTTTTTTATTGTTCAGTACGGTAAAACGGAAGCCTATTATTAAGGCTCCGCTGTCCGTTCGTCCGTCAGTCCGTCTGTCACCAGTCTGTACCTCATGAACTATGAAAGTTAGAAAGTTGAAATTTTCACAGATTATGTATTTCCGTGGATCCTATAACAAAAAATACTAAAAATCCTTTTCTTTTTTTCTAATTAATCGAGGGACGGAAGAGGGAACCGCTTTAGCATTATTTCTCCTCAATACTAAAAATCCTAGAATATAAAATATAAGCAGTGTTGCCAACATAGCTGATGATGGTACGGGACTTTTAGTGCGCGAATCGGACTCGCACTTGGCCGGTTTTCTTATACAATGATTTTATATCATTGAATTCAAATTTAATACCATCCATTATACATTTATACAGTGACCGACTTGTAACCTACTGTACAGCAGAGCATCTTTTTTTACTTACCAATACATAGTGTAAATACGATTTGTCATTCATTTTAACGGCTCGTTAGATTAGAGGAAAACAACAAAACAATCCAACCTAACCATCTTGTTAATTACGACGGATCGCTGCATCTTAGGACAAAATGGCTAATTTATGTTTTTTCCTTTTTTTAGTTTCAAGCCGCTCTGCTACAACGATGGAATCTGCCGTCGTTCATGTGCGCCTTCTGCCCATTCATACACGTCCTTTCCATCACGGTGAGTGTGTTCACACTGACCGCCATAGCTGTGGACCGGCGCCAAGCCATACTCAATCCCTTCGCGTGAGTATATATTAATTGCAACTGGTATAAGCCTTTGAGAATTGGGTCATATTCTTTATTAAAGGGTAAAGCAAAATTCAGACGGTTTTACGTCTGTGATGTTATCGATTGCCGCGTCTATAATAGTTACGACGAACGGCGTGGGTGTAATTAATTCTTACTTAATATGTAGGTACCTACTTAATTGCAGCCGATATAATACTTAATAGTAGGCAATTATATATTATTATTATTAATAATTTATTTCATTATGATACATGGTTACCTATAGTTTTTCGTGTATTTTTTGTAAGATTTAAATTGTTAAATTGTTTTCCGTTGCAAATAATAATTAATCAATAGTAAAAAAAAATACCATCGAATTACGATGTAAATTAAACATGTTTTATTCAAATTAACAATGAACAATTGATTCATTATAATTTTTATTGCTAGCTAAACTAGTACAAATGCATAAATGCATACAAATTACGGAGTACAAATAAAACCGATTCTTAATTACTTATATACACTGATTGAATGAATAACAATTGGATTTAATGAAGTTTTTAACGGATTTATAAATAATATAATACGATGTAAAACAACAGGACTAAACAAAAAGAACTCGTCTCGCTTCGTTTTAAATATTCTAGCACAGGGTATAGACGTGTAGTAATGTATTTGATGTTAGTTTGAATTGAATATATTCTAATATAAATCATCGCTTGGTTGGAAAAGATTCTGGAAGGATCTCAGTTGAAATACGCGCCTAATTTTGACATTTATTCAACGGTTAACAATTGTCAGCAGTTTTTTTTTACGATAAGGACTATTGAAAACCGAAAAATGCATGTTTTAAGTTCCGTACATAGTATCAACTTTTGATCTACAAATATGTGAAGATTCTACATGAAACTTTAAAAACAATTCTCCAAAAAGTGTTTAAAGGAAAACATTACGCATTTAAAATTGTTTAATATAAAATGCTGGTATTTTTGAATGATGTATGGCGTATTAGCGTAAGCGGTATGTGAGAACTTTGATACGTTGTAATAAAAAATAAAACATAGTTCGAAGATGGAACTTCTTGAAAACTTGACTTGAGAAGAGACTAAAATATAATAATTGGATAATATCTGTTACACTTATGTAATAATTGTATATATTGAAATATTTCATGAAATTAACAATGAACATTGATACTAAAATAGTTTTATTTTTACTAAAACATTTCAATTTAATTAATGCCTATTGATGCATTGTTTAAAAAGAATCGTATACGTATTTTTTCGTACACGAACTATTCGTATTTTTCTTATTCTTCATCTTTTCTTTCGTATTAGTAATATTTTAAAGATGTATATTAGTGTTGTAGTGTCCCTACTGTTTTTGTGGTAGGTAAGTACCTATGTTATCCATATTACGTATTAACATTATGTACAATACATATATTATTGTTTGCAATTTGATGTTTAGATAATGTATTCATAATATTATGTAATACGAGTGTTAATACTGTTACTCTAACCGATAACCACATGTCATTTAAGTTTTAAATTTTGTAATAATTTTGAAGCCAATAATGTTTTAATAAATTGCTGTGTTAATACTCTTAAATACAATTTTAGGTATAACTTACTTATCTAATAAATTTTTCTTATGAACTCTTAATATATAATATTAGGTGCAAACAAATACTTAGTACCTAGTGTAATAATTTTCTTAAAAAAATAAGTACAAATAATTAAGTAGGTATCTTGTAACTTTAAACCTTAAATGTAACCATAAGTCACTTTGATTGTAGCCTGTAACTAGATACCCAAGTTTAGTGTAACACTGTAACTTATAACTATAGGCTATAGCTAGTAGTTACAATTGATGGAGTAACTTGTCCATTCAACGTCCACGTCCCTGTATAAAATATTATAATATATTGCAGTATAATAACGTACCTATACATTATATATAATTTACTTGTTGTGTGGGTACATAGTCCACAGAATCGCAAATACTAATCCAATGAAATCCCTTGGGTGTACATTGCGAATAAGAAATCCTAAGCACGTACGTTTATTATTATTTTACATAAAATATAATAATAGTGCATAATATATGCATGTGAATAATGGGCGATGGTATTTCATTGTAATGTATAATAAATGATGATAAACAAGGTATAATACAACCAATTTCATATTATCAGTAGGCTCAGAAATCGTAACCATAACATATACGCTGTGTGGCTGCTGCTACTAAGAGGTTATCTTAAGAGTCCTGGCCCATATGGCTGCCATAATATATTAAGAGTTTCCAAGTGCCAAAACTATTGTATGCGCTCTACGGAAACGTCGACGTTATTGAAATTACATATTTTAAGCACACACTAAGGTATAGAGTTCAGTGATTTTAAACGAGTGAAAACAAAATATATCACACACGTACGAGATTGCACATAATAACATTATTTAGATACGCTCACACTCTTCTGCCCTGTAAAGACGACCAGAAATGGAAGAATTTGTAAATTTTTATTCAAATGTTGGACTTGTCGATACTCGTTACACTTACGGTACTTATCGATTGCACGTTCTACCGATTCCTCGCGTAAACCACATAGCTACGTGAAACAATAATGGATGCATTATTATATAGTTACGTCGTTTTTATAATAATAATAATTATGATATCATAATATTATTATTATATAGGTGGGCTTATAATATGCCATGGAATTTCGCTTGCGAGAAAATTATTCTTACGAGATGATTGTTTTATTCTCTTTACCACAGAAAAAGTTATTTCATCGAACCGAACCACTCAAGTGTTTTAAAACTATAAAATTTCCCGTCATTAATGTTTCATGAAACAAGTGTTGAGAAAAGAGCAGAGCACATGACAGTAGTTTTAACTAAGTTACAAATTTTAAATTATAAATAGTTAGCTAAAATAGTAAATATAATACCTATATAGATTTTTCTAAAGATATTAAATACTCAATGATGGACGAAATAAAAGATGATTACAATTTACAAAACTAATAATCATGGAATTGATGACCGTGAAACCAAAAATCGTGATGGACTGTCATAACTATATTATACAACAGGGGCATAATTTAGGTGTTCTATATTATAATAGTATGGTAGGCTACAAACCTAAAACTGACTATTATAATAATTGTTCAATACCTATTTCAATAATAATAATTATGATTAAATAGTAAATATCATGTATGTGCCATGTTGTTGAAAATTATAATTACTGTAAATACAGATAGGTAGTCCTACCTAGTAATTTATAAATCTTATGGATATTATACACAGTATCGACTTTTCAAAATTAAATACAGTTGTATTATAATATAATATTATTATTTATTATTTTCAATAATTTAGTAAGTAATTATAAACAATAAATAGGCAATACTAAGAGCTGGTGAAGTAGATTTGCTGTATATAATAATATATATTAAATATACATAGTAGGTTTCGAGTTTATAGGTCGTTGTTGAGTAGTTCACTGTAATAGTGTAATGGATGAGCTCAATAATTATTTGAATTTAATGATAAATCATAACATAACGATTCTGAGTGAAAAAGGTATATCAGTATTTATATTGGGTTATATTTTTGAATTAAAATTTAAGACATCCATTACAGAGACCGACTCAACGGCGAGGTAGGTACTAGGTAGGTACACTCGAAACTTACTAAGCATCAGAATAACTTCCACGGTTTATTTACATTCATGTAAATTAATGTTAAGAATAATATCATATGAGTTATGAGTTTATAACTATCATAAATTGGAAATAAAAGTTGATTGTTATTACTTCCAAATCAAAACAAGTTTTCGTGATGTGTTCAATCATTGAAAAAATAATTGTGAATTACATTATGAAATTAGTTGTAGAACAATAAAAATATTATGTTGACATTTTAAAATTATAGACTTGGTCCAATACAATTATAAGCATACAGAATTATTTTTAGGCTCTTTTCAAAAATTATTTGTGACAATATGATATTTTTTTAATCATGTAAAAAGCTTTTTTATTTACGAAATAGATTAAGCGAGAGAAAAATGTTATATATAATGTATTAATTTAGACTAAACCTATGGATTGGAATGTTTAATTTTGCAGTGTCTTTTATAAACTTGGTACACAAGCCATTTATATTAATACAAACCATAATTTTTTTATGTATAGTTCATCAATAAACATGAAAAATTCACATTATGTTGTACATTTTTTCAAAAGTAATTGATAACGTCATATTATTGTAAAAAAGGATGTTTGTTGTTGTGTTTTGAAATTTTGAAAAATATTTCTGAACCTACCCTTACCTCTAGATCCTATATTTATGTTATGGGGGACTTGGTTAGATAATGCTGTGTTATAATAAGTTTATTATTTGAATTTTATAAAATCAGTGAATTTGTCTATAGTCAAAAAAAATGCTTAAAAATAATGATAACAATTTAGCTTAAACTTAACGTAACCTTGGTTTTCTCACTTAATCTATTTTAAATTATAAAATGTGTTACCCCTACGGCTCCACTTCATGATAGTTTGTAAATAATTATTAATTTAATTTTTTATTTTTAACATATTTTTTTCATATTTTAACAAACTTAAATACTTGTTTTACTATAAATGATTGTTTTTCAGCTTATAAGTCATAGTTTAAATTTTTAATCTTTAGGTTTTCAGACCGTTGTTTTTCTTGAAAAAAGTACTTTTGACATCAATATCATCATAAACGCAATGTATATTATTTTATACTTATCTCAACATTGTATAGTTATTTCCGTAACCTCTAATCGTTTATATAACCATTCCTAAGCTACTCCGATACAACCCTACTGTGCCTGGATTTAGTTGGCTGGGTATTAGGTGGTAAAATATTATTTATTATAATACGATCATATTGTGCTGTATGTGATATTGTTATATGAAAGTAAGTACACTACGAACTATTGCGTCAAAATGGTTTTTTATTTTATTTTTATAACAATCCTATTTACGAGATTTTTATACGAATACCAGCAATAATAATCTATACAGACGCTTTCGCGTTTATCTCCTCAACCGTACCACGTGCTCACTCACCTAGATAGGAATGCACATAGAAAAGATAAGGCCGCAGTGGATCAGCCAATATTTTGTGAAAGCTTTTGACTCGCATTGTCGTGGATTCTCACATACCGTGCGTAATTTGTATCTGTTTGTGCATTTATCGTGATCGATCGATCGCATTGATGGTCCGTGATCATGTTAAAGTAAATCAATATATTTTGTAGAACAATAGATTAAAGCTGTACATGAGGCGAGTGAAAAACCCTAGCCTGCAGCTTCTCAACATTTATATTAAATTTACATCTTTTCGAGTCCTACGATACATTGAATAGGATACGACTCATAATATTATATCCAAGACAACCAATGGCATTTGTCGGTGATGAGGGACCAAAAATCAAAAACTACAACAGATTATAATAAGGTCCTAAAAAACTGTATAACCATGGTTACAGCGTAGAAACTACAGCTATCTATAACAGGAAGAAAAATCTATACAATTACCCTGGACCTTGGTGTATATATATTTAGGCGTAATAGTATAATAATATATTTATTATTTATTATGATTTCATGGACCAACACCTTTTTTATTTATATTTTTATTAATTATTATAATAAGCTCCCTAAAGATGTTATACTATAAGTGCCAATAATAGATGATAACAATAATAACAACAGTATTTGTGTGTTTGTGTTCGCAGTGCAAGGACGTCAAAGTCCCAATGCCTGTGCGTGATCGGATTGATCTGGATCGCCGGTCTGGCGCTGAGTTCGCCAATGGCGTATGCGCAACGGGTGGTTTTCGTGTCCGAAGACTGGCCGTTCTGCCTTAACGTCAACTTGTCGCCGAACGTCATGTTCGTTTATAGGGCACTGCTGGTAGTCGTGCAGTACGTTATACCGCTGTCGATCATGACGTGGGCCTATTCGGGGATAGGATTCGCCCTGTGGGGTTCGTCGGCTCCCGGAAACGCACAGTCGCAGAGAGACTTGATCTGATGAGAAAATAAAAAGCGGGTAAGTCAATATTTTTATCTAGGACACCATTATTGTGATTTTTATTATTATTGATATGATAGCCATCGAGTAAGTCGTTGTATAGACAAATTATTATTAGATCTTAATATTGCATTGTACATCATATATACATATTGTTTGTACATACTAATATTATGTTATTACCTACGTAATATATACAACTTTAATGTCATAAATCATAATACCATGGAACCGATCGATAAGCATCCGAAATCAATTTTATCGTTATCAATTCATATTATTATAGCTGTAACGTAATCAAAAGTATGAAACAATTTTATCATAACATTCATATAATATGTAATTATTATATCTTTCTCCCGTCGTAGGTACTAACCCAATACAATTCAGTTATAAGATACATAATGAATCCTTAAATGTAGTTTCTTCTGTAAAAGACTTAGGTGTTTGGCTGTCTAGTGACAATTATTATTTAAATTACACTTGGACAAAATTTATAAAAAGGCATTAAAAGTTTTGGGTTTCATAGCACTACTTGGGAATTCAATAACTCCACTTGTATTAAAGTGCTGATGTATTGTTATCGTTATACTACATTCCATTTTATAATACTGTTCTGTAGTATGGAACCCGTTGACTGGTATTTGGGTAAATAATATTGAAATTATTCAAAATCGCTTTTTAAAATTTTTAAAACCTAAATTAAGATTATAAACTAATGATATTTTTAACGTTGCTAGACAATGTAATCTTGATCCATTATTTAAATGCCGATTATTTAATTATGTTAATTATGTGTATAAACTTATTAATAATCAAATTGATTGTCCCGATCTATTAACCAAAATCAAATTTAAGATACCTTCATTCAATTCTCGAAATCACGTAATATTTCATATCGACTGCCAATGCCAGAATTACAGTTACTATAGCCCGTTAAACCGTATGTTTATGTTCTGTAATAACATTACAAATTTCGATTTTTTTATGATCCACCGGCTTTACTATACTCTTTATCAACTAAATAATGTATTTTAATGTATAAATATTCTGTAACTTTTGCTCATCTTGGGCGTAATTAATTAATAAATAATAAAAATAAATAACTACAGAAGATGTGTTAAACGTAAAATGACTAAAACTTTAGGTAGGTATACTGGTGAATTCAGCTTTTCAACATACTTATACGCCCAGATGAATTATTAGGGTAATATTATGGTGTTTTTCCTTTTACTCTTCTTAAAACTTACTACTTACTACATCATACAAAACCAAATAATATAAGACCACAGTTCTTCTTTAAGGGGCCTGAGTGCGACTGGGTTTTTTGCTCAAAAACAAGCCTTACAGGAAAAATTCTCACGTAATACGTTGTTTCATACTTACGTACAATGTAGGTACTAGGTAGGTATACTACTATAATCTAAAACCATAAAGGCACATTACGTGGTTATAACTCAGCAAAATATGAACAAAAATGTAAAAATTCAGGAAAATCGGCTTTTTGTGTGGATGATAATTAATCTAAATGTCCATTAAGTGTATTATTAAATATTATGTTTTACATGGTTTGTGTCATTTCCTATAATATACGACTCTATTTTGTTATATTATTTTGTTACAATACTTGAATCTTTTCAGACACTATTTTTCTCCAGTTTAACAAGCGAGTGATCCTGCAATGTCTATTACTTATTACTTACTATTTATAGGCTATGACAAAAAAAAATATTTTTAGTCTGTGACCATAATCCCAGGTTGTTTAGTATACCAAAACGTGGGACGTTTTCGATTTTAACTGTTGGATGATTTCCGTTATACCCCACCCCAATTTATTGGCAATAATCCAGCCATATGTCTCTTTAGATTCTGGCAAAAAAAAAAATTGGGTTTTACGCTGTGGATCGCTTATCTACTCAGGGTGGTTTTGCATACCAAATCGAGTGATGTTTTCGATTTTAACTGCCCCAGAGAGCGTAGCGATCGAGTGACCCCAAGGCGGTTCTCTATGGGTATTTTTTCAGACCCTATAACATGGTTCCTATTTACGCTCATTTGGAGAGATTATGTAAAACCATATCGGGCACGTCACAACTCACAGGTTAAAAACCATTTTTTCAACACCTAATACCTTATACTTATTATATAGAGACCCAGTTTGATTTTCCCTTTAGATCGTTTATATTTTTTCTAAAGTAACTTATTATTCTGTACACACGCAATAATATTGTTCACGTATGTACCTATTGTAACCATACTAGTTTAGAGCTTATAATAAGGTTTCAAATAGGTTTTTTTTTATAGATTTTTTAGACTATTATAATATACTTTTAGTCCTAATTTTTTTTTCTCTTTTAACTCGTGGTAGGTTACATTCACAATTCATTCTGAGTACCTAGTAGATAAAGTTGAGTTTTCGATTTTACCTCTCCGTTTACACTGACCTTAAATGTGACCAGAAATGTCATTCACATGACTAACTTTAATCCCGTAAACATCCTTATCCGGAGACTTTTCCACACGAAAAACACTTAGTAAACCATTCACACGCGACACGCACACAATCAACATAATAACTACCTATATAGGTATTATATATTATATTATTATAATATATTATAAGTAAAATTATTATAGTTTATATTCATATCAAGTTAGAATACACTGTCATTAAACTTGGCACGATTATTTTCAAGGTCATAAAAATGCTTATCATCGTCGTTGCGCTATTCACGTTGTGCTGGTTGCCCCTGCAAACGTACAATCTATTGCAACACATATTTCCTCAAATAAACGAGTGAGTACCTATTGTATTTATTATTATAATTTTATTATATTAAATTAATGACTAAAATCACTGTTTTCCCGAGGACTTTCTACTTTTGATAAAGTATAATAATACACTTTATTGTCATTTAATTTCAGGTATCCTTATATCAACATAATTTGGTTCTGTTTCGATTGGTTCGCCATGAGCAATAGCTGTTACAATCCATTTATTTATTCTATATACAACGTGAGTATAGAACATCCAAGTTTAATACATAAACACTTTTTTTTATTATTATAACTATATTTTATTGGTAAATTTTCACCAAAAGTACAAAAGTAAATTATGATATAAAATGTAAAATTTGTTGCCATAGTATACTCTGGCGATGTTATATTATCAAAGCTCTACTTAGATGAATATATATTAATATATTATTAAAATACTCTTTTCGATACGGATTCTCGTGGGAACTGCATATGAAATTAATTGGATTATGTATATTATACAATTTATACAGTACCTACTACCTATGCTCTACAGTTTAAGCGTAATTACTTAACAGTAGCCATACCTAGTAATGGTTTATAATAAAGACTTTGGTACAGGTAATTTCCATACAAATTTAAGATAATTAAAATTGAATTATGTATTTCATAGTGTTCTCAATTCTTTTACATTTTACTTAAATCTACAAATACCTCAATGGCAATAACATGGTTAGTTATGTTATAATTATTTAATTATTTTCCAAAAACATACTTTTGTTAAAAGTTGCAAATTTATGTTTAACCCCCTTATTTTATGTTTATTTTAATCAAACACCGTCAACGTAGTAATAATGAAATGGCCAAATAAAACGATACAATTATCGTACACTTATAAGTTAATTAACTCATCGCGTTCCAGGCTTGTTTATACTTTAATGTCTTATGTAATATCTATGTTTCACCGCAACGTCTCGAGTCTGGTGAACCGATACTGAAAATAACAATTTACCCATATCGATAACAATATTGAGCTTTAGGCCGACGTTTATTATTATTCGCAGGAAAAATTCAAACAAGAGTTCAAAATGCGGTTAGACTTCATGGCGGGTAAGAGGCGGCTTACCAGGGATCTGAGCGCGTTTTCCAGTGGCCGGTTCGAGTGGCGCACCAATCACGTGAACACTCACGAACGAAACCTGAAGCACAGCTCGATCGTCACCAACGACACGCCACTGATACTCACACCCGACGCGTGATTGATCGATTGACCGACAGAAGGGCTATGGCCTCGTGAGACGTTATCGATTTAATATTTATTTCAGTGTAATTGTTATTGTTGCGGTGTCGATGTAAAATAAGTTTTTTGATTGTCCCCCACGCACACTAATATTATGAGATATATGTCTTGACCGGAAGTACCGACACTCCATCGTCCCCGTTCTAGAAAACCGATCCCGTGTGATTTTTTGTATCATCACTTTGTTTTCTTACTCCTACTATCATACATTTCATTCTATTTGCTATAAAATTGTTTAAACGATTGTTTATATACCATACATAATTAAAATATGTAATATAAGACTCATAAATTATAACGATTATTGTTTTATGACGTCGATACTAAATCGATTTCGATTGGTCTTTCAACTGAATATTGTTCATTATGTATATTTATATATATTATATATTATAATATATATTTATGTTTACTGTACCAATTCCAATTATTATTATTTTTACTAACGTAGTCACCTTCTAATATTTTATCTAATTTTCGTTTATTGTCAGTTGTCACATATTCTCCACCTCCAAAACGGCCATCGTTTTCCTATGATAAGTAACAATACAAACCTATACAGAATCCGTTTGCTATACCTACCTTAGGACGTTATTCCTTAGTTTCCATCTAAGATTTAGAAAAATTATGTTCCTGAGTTTTTTTGGTTTTGTTACGCCTGTAAAATGTTGTATCAAAACTGTAACTAACTTAATAAATACTTACATAATATATGATTATTAAGCGTAATCCCTTGTTATTACGTATTTTCTGATTATTTATTAAAACACAGTATAATCAGTACCTATACCTTATATAAATATCAGAAACTATAAATAATTGTTTTGAGCAATAGCGTTTAGGTTATACAGGTTTTGTTCAAAATATGAACGATACTGCAAACGACAAATAAATTATTTCAGAAAAATCTAAATTTCACTATTCTCTGATGAAACGGTAAGTGGAGAGGATTCAGTTTTTTGCTACCCACTAAAGTGAACAATCAAATACTCAACGTGGATACAGTAACACTCAGTAAGTATTGTCTTAAATTGATTATAAATTTCAATAATAGTAAATTATTTTTAAGTATCAATCAATTTGGAAACCCAATAGTTTAAATGCATAGGTACTTCAATCTAAATAGTACCTATATATTATTTATAATACCTATATTTTTCCAAAATCATTTTTTATATAATCGTGAATAATAAATTACCTATTGTTTATTATAAATTATAATGTGCATTTTAAGTAACTACCAAATACTTCTAACATGACGTTTTTAAATAGAAAATATATTATATTTAAACTAAAAAATACTAATTAAAGTAGTTAAATTATTTCAAAAAAAAATTTCTGGAGAGTGTAGTCCAACAGGTCTCGTTCAGCTCAGTGACAAATTGTAACCTTAGGTACCTATTCGAATCATAATAACAATTATTAACAACTATAATTTTATTCTAGCTACTATTATAGGTACGTAATATCATATACATTTAGAACTATATATTAATTTACTAGCTGATCCCGTGCACTTCATTGCCCGATAAAAATACCAACGCACATTGATTTAAAATGTGTGTTTAACTCGTATTTAATACCCGGCATAGTGACGTTTATAATTCCTGTGGTTTTAGCCCATCTTAATCTCTATTAAAAATGTTTAACACAGTAATAACAGTCGTTAGTGGTTAGTAGTCACACTCATTTTGATGGTTTTGTAAAAATATAAAATACAGGTCAAATTTGCAATAAAAAAAATTAAGGGCGCCACTTATCGAAATAAAACTAAGCTTATAGACCCTTGGTATAGTGTAGCTTTCTGATGGTAAAAAAAATTTTAAAATCGGTGAATATGTCCCAAAGATTTCCCTGAATAAGCAATATTTCTTCTTTATACTAATACAGATTACAGGTGTTTTAAATTTATAAAATATGAAAATTACGTTATTTTTCGATGGAAATGTCTTTTCCAACTTCTACCAAAATTGGCATAATATCGTATGTCAATTGTTTTATTATACTAGTAATAGGATACAACTTCTGAAAACAAATTTGAATTCATTGTGAAGTTTATACTTAAGGCAAAACATTGATACTTTGAGCAAAAAACAAAATTATTAATATTCGAATAGCGCATTATTGTCTATTGACATGAACGTGTACGTGCAAAAGAAATATAAAATATTCTCTTTATTTCTTTTACATTACAATCACAAACATTAATGATCACTTACTATGCACACATATACGTATTACACAACACGCATGCCTTTAGAAAATTGCCTATGTTTAACTCCTTAAAAATGGTTGGCATCGAATCCTCTTAATATTCCATGAGTAGCCAATTTATTGGTACCAAATGATGACGCTTGTTGTATTACTGTAGTAGGTAGGATTTATTTTACTTGTACAATACTGCATGATAATATATTGGCCAAAAATGATATCACTAATCACAATACTAAAAATGTTCTAACTTTTAAACAGCTGTCAGTTCTGTATTCGAAATTATCATAACATTCATAACAAAGTAATGAAATACACAACATTTTAAGTGTGTACATTAATAACATCTTCATAATGAATAAGGTATTTAATGCAAAAGCGACCAGTGTATTAAGCAACTATACCAAGGTAATCAATCAAAAATATTTGAAATTACAAAATAATAACAATAAATTAATTTGTTGCAAAAAATTTGTGAAATAAATTATACATTAATTATACATAATATTATATTTAAAATAATAATAATCACAATAAAACTTAAAATTCAATGCACGGTTATGTATAGCTGAAACATACAAAAAAAAAATGTTTTGCCTGAATGACTCAGTACCGTGGTAAGCACCAATGTACAATACAAATTAATATAGTAATAATTATAAAATATAAAATTAATAATCACAGATAGTATGACAGAAACTAACGAACTGTATTGCAATAATTAATATAAAAAAAATATATTAATTCAATTTCTGTTTAGCTCAATGGTATATGTATATATAAATACAAGTTAATAAGAATAGATTAAATATAAATAAAAGTAGGTACCTATTCATTATTGTGATAGTAAGTGATTAACCATATGGTTTTAAAAAAAATCGGTAGACTTAATTTAAGTGATTATATTACACACAATCAAATAATAACTATTATGATTCTTTGTACAGTGACGCTGGAGGTGTTAAATTAAAATTAATATACAATTAATGATATGCAATAAGTAACATATAAAATAGTTTTAAAAAACACTAATAAGTCATTACATAATAATTATCATTAGGTTAACAATTTAGTACCTATATTATTATAATAATTTTGTTATTTTAGATTTTGAGTGAAATTGGTTTATATTTTAAATTGTCGACCCTTTTTTGAGTCAACGATCATCGAGAAGTCAAATATTTTATTAATTGGAAATATATATTAGCTACTTTAAATAAGCTATACACTATTTTAAGATTCTGAACTGTTATCTAAAATGTAAAAAAAAATAACGGAAAAATTGAAAAAAATGTTTTAAGACTTTTGGGTCCCGAGTTTTTTAATTCAAAAACTTAGGTTACTAAAAAACCCTCTCGCCTCGTGAAAAAATCAGATTTCAATCATATTTTTTTTATTTGAAAGAAGAAGGTAATTTACCTACCAAACTGTATACTTTGATAAAAAAAAACTCTATTATCCGATGTTGTAATAAACGTCTGTATTACAATATCTGAGTATTTGAATTGAATTTTTCTAGCGTCATTTAAAAGTTCATTCAAATCGGAGACAAATACAACCTGAATAAAATGTCCAAATAAAAAAAAAATCACAAAATTCCGACTATTCCATGAGACGTGATGGTTTTTCTTGTAAAGCCATTATTTAAGTTATTTTATTTTATTTTTCAGTACTCTTATAATTATATGACCATTGCGTAACGTAACAGAAAATAATTTTTTAAATATTTTCCCTTCAATAAAAAAAGGGAGGTTTATATGTATAATAAACTAACAAATTGCAGGGTCTCTACCTTTATTTAGCTATATTCTGTATTCATAATCGTTAATCGATTGGAAGGATTTATATAACTTTCAAAATCAATTTTACAATACAAATATAAAACGTTTTCCCTCACTCGACTTATATCATTTACCTCATCAGAAAGTATGGTAATTAAAGAAAACATTTTTAATTGAACTTAAAGAAAAATGGTGATAATTAAACTTATTTTCTGGCTATAATACATTTTTTTTGTTTTGATATTATTATATTTTATGTTCTGCTATATTATATAAGTTATAAACATTAAACCTCTGTTCTAGAAACAAATTGAAGTAAATCAAGAGAGACGAGAGTGCTTTATTATAAGCTTTTAATTTTAATCCTCTTATTAAGAACATATTTATTGCAATATAAAAGGAAGAAATCCGATCACTTATTGAATTGTGCACTCATACATGTATGAACTTGAGTCGGTTGTTGGTATTGATACCAGAAAACGTCATATAACGTGAAAACTAGATTTTATAAGTTGAATTGAATAATAATTATTCTCATAATTTTATAAAGTTTTACTTCTATAAGTCTATTACACTAAAAGGTGAACAATGGTTTGTTTAAACAATTACTTATCAAAAAAATTCACACATTTCAAAGCAAGTAAATAATATAATCACAGTAATAATATTTACATTTTTAGGTAATATATAAAATTAAAATATATACATATATATTTTGATTATATAGTTATTGAATCACAGCACTTTTACATGGCAACTCATATCACTGAGTTCACGTCTAATTGAAAGTTATCATTTTATCAAGTTATTACCGTAGTCTTTTCCATCTATAATCATAAGAACAAATAAAATAATTAAGTACTTACTTAATATTACAAAATATTGTTTATGCATAAAACATTTAATCAAAACTTACTTTTTATAAGAACAACATAAAAGGCATATTGAAAAAATCGATACGAATCCAATGAAAATTGCAATACCTAACACCGATATCTGTACCCAAGTAACAGCTGATTTGACTTGTTTCGGGGAACATCGCTAAACAGATAAACGAGTAAAATATTTTAGTTTCTGGAAAATAAAAATAATAATAATAATATTCCTTACTTCGATGTTTTTAACTTCGTATTGTTTGTACACGTTTTTCAGCTCATGATTACTAGGGTCTTCGAGTAACGATATAGTATCTTTTGGATTGTAATTGTTTGGGCCCACTAGTTGAAAACATGAACCTGTGCTACTAAAATCTAGACTTCCGTCATTTTTTGAATAAAACTGGGTGTCATACAAGTTTAAACTAACTTGAGGTATCCCTAGTGATTTTTCAACTTCTTCTTTGAATTTAGTAATGTAATGGCCTACTACATTTGGTGGTCTTGTGAAAACAAACTTCAACAAGCCACGGTCTTTTACAATGAACACCTATCAAAATAAAATTATGTTGGTATTAATATATTTTTGACTGTCGTTCGAATCAACCTTTGACGTAAGACTTGACTTACCTTGATTGTAGTGTTAGAATGTCGTCCAGGCACGTCACTGTTGATCGCAGCCACAACTATGTTAAAGTAACCTTCTGAATAGGATGTCATCGAAGATGTTGTTCTGATCTGACCACTTAATTGATCTAAAAAGAATGGCCAGCTCTTGATCTCTTTTGGGCTTTCAAGCCTATGAGCAAAAGTGAGATTTGTAATGTGATACGTGATTTGTTCTGCCAAATTGTCAACATCTGTGGCTTGTATTGTAGCAACAAGTGTGTCTAGAGGAACGCTTACCCTAACGCCTAAAAATGAACATGGTTTAGGAGAAATCAATATTTAAACAGCCAGCCATTAACCAATCACTCACCTAAAGTTAAGTTTTCATCGACGAATTTCGGTAAATTGTCATCGATATCAAGTATTTTGATAACCACCTGTCTCTCACTAGGATCTTGTTTGTTGTACGATTTATGCAAACTATATGCTTTTGTTTTATGTTTGAAACATTTTATTGTCAAAACATATTCAGATATAGATTCTCTATCAATTTCTCCACTCACTCTTATTTCGGCTACATTATTCGAAGAGTTTAAATAAAATACATTACCCTCGTTACCATCTAAAATTAATATTGTAAAAATCATATGAGATTATTTTTGATATTTGTATTATTAAATAAATTAATATACCCGTTATAATGTAATCAATCAAAGCATTATCCCCAATATCCGGATCATACGCTGCTATGAAACCAACTAAGGTACCATGAGACGACTCTTCTTCGACTTCCATCATTAAAGGTTTTTCTTCCTAACATGTTTAAAAAGTGTTAAATAATTATGCAAACAAATCTACTGATATCTACTTTCAGACAAAATTTGATTAATACTCACGATCGATCTATTGAATACTGGTTTATTGTCATCGACATCGGTTATAATAACGTTGAAAACTTTTGTGGACTGTTGAGGAACATCGCCTAAATCTCTTGCTACTAATACAAGAGTATATTTGTCTTGTGTTTCTCTGTCCAAAATTGACTTGGTCGTTATTAATCCCGTTTCTGAATCAATAGAAAAAATTGAAGAATCTTTTGTTTCTTCTAAAAAGCTATAATGAATTGTTCCTTCCAATGTATTGGGATCGTCTGGATCTGTAGCCACTGCTCTGAATACTAACGATCCAATGGATGCATTCTAAAGAATAAAACAATGTTATCAGCTTGGAAGAAATAATGTGAATTTGGTTGTCTTATCTAATGATCGTTATTTCTTCGTTTACCTCAGAAACATATGCGATTTCATCAGCAGTTGGATGTACAAAAGTCGGAACTCCATCATTTTCAATTATATCGCTGATGTATAGACTAAGCTTAACATCAGAAAACATTCCAGGTTCTCCATTGTCTTCGGCTCTTATTTTCATTTCATACGGATCAGAGCGGCCTTTGCCCGTTAATCTTTTGGAAGTCTTTATTTGTCCATTCATTGGATTTATGTACAAGAAACCTTTTTGAAGATATAAAACATACCTTTAAAAATATAAATGAATTCTTTACATTTAAAATAAATACCATGAAGTTGTTGTTCATCGATGAGCTTGTAATGGACCAAGCCTGCAGATCCTTCATCCGGATCGTGTGCCGATACGTTTAACACACTTGTTTCGGGAACTACGTTCTCTAATACTACTGCAATATAGATTGAAGTATCAAATTCAGGCGCATTGTCGTTTATATCCTTCACATCAATATTAACCTAATAAGAAATTATAACTACAATATTAAAGTTTCCGGTCAACATTTTTATATAATATATTATATTTAACAATTAATTACTGGTACTGAAGACATTTTTTGATGAGGACCACCTAGTGGCGTGTCTGATGCAAATAACATTAATTTTAAAATTGGAGTTTTTTCACGATCAATTACACCATTTCCAGAAACTTGTATCTCTCCGCTTTTGGGATCAACAGTAAACAAATTTGAATTTTCACCTCCTAGATGGTACCTGACTATACCGTTTTGGGTCGTCGGTAAATCTTTGTCCTTTGCTATCACCGACAAGACCACTGTACCTTTTGGGCTGGATTCTAGGAGAGAAGTTCGATAAATCTGAAATTAAATATTAATTATAATATATTAGTTTTATTACAGCATTCAAAAATATAATATACCACATACCACATTTATGGGTTTTAAATCAAGTCTAAAATTTTAGACAATACTTTAAAGAGGTCATTTCTTTATTTTAGGCTTTTATTTATGTGACGTTATATTATATCAGGGGTGATATTTTTACTAATAAAATAATAGGTAATATTATATTATAATGAAGACAAAATTATCCAATACTAAATATATTAATGTTTTAAAATGTAATACCTGCGATCTATCACAACACAATACTTTTCCACAAAGAGGTGAAAGTTAGAGTTTCCAATTTCAATACTGTATTTAGTAGAAATTTTTTTAATTTAATTTTTATCAACTCTAACATTATTTTTTACTATTATGTAGGTATATTTAAAAAATGTTACCAGTATTAATAAAAAATTTTTAGTGGTTTTGCTTCCAACTCAAATACTAATATTAGATATTATTATATAGGCACGTACACACAGCAATCGCATATAAATTATAAATGTATGTAATTTGAAACTTAATTTTAGTATTTAAATACATGGTATGTGTGTATCATATTTTAAGAGTTTATAATACAGCTTTCAAACGAACTGTAAATTTTTTTTATAACCTAAATATTATATTACTCAAAAGTCAAAACATTATACTATAATAATTTTTAAAATATATAAAATTAAATTTAATAGGGAAATTATTCATCACAGAGGAGAAATATTGAATTACTTTTGTATTAAAAATGTCTTATCCCAAATATTACACAGTTATAAATATTACTTTTGATTACTAATTACCTAAGAATGGAATAAATAACGTCTATATACAACTCTTCGGATTACGATCCATATTCTTGAATGATTACCAATACTATTATAGTTTTTTACAAATATTTGTTAGCCAAACACGAAAAGTTTATTAGAAAATACTATATAGATTTATTATTGTAACAGTAAAACAGTAACACGATCATTATACCAAAAAGTATAAACGATTTTGAAAGTATTGATTACATGATTTGAACTTTGAAGTCATTCATAGACCACAATTTAAAAAAAAAAAACTGTTTACTATTTTTTATTGTTATAATTATTAAAGATTCTCATGTTTTTAATGCAGTGTACATGTTTAAAGTCATATTCCAAATTCAATATTTGGTTGAGAATTTTGACGAATAGAGTGGTGTGGGCATTGGGGTACCCAGCCAAATATTGGTAAATGATAAAAATACCTACTACTACGCTCACATTATCTTTAAACTACATGTTTTAAAAATGGTGTTTATAATGACTTTAAATTGTAGAAAAATAATTTCTAAAAACTTAAATACATATTGTGTTAAAGAGTGGTTACTGTTAATAATTACCAAGTATCATATTATGCTTTTTTTCTACAAATAAAACTCACATAAATAATGTAAAATATCTACATTATGAATCCGTAGATAAATAGCAAGACATTTTAAAAAATATAAAAACATAAAACATTTTATAAGTGGGAAGTTGCACTTTGTGAAACACGATGTTATTTTCATTATTAATGTTTTATAAAAACTTCTACTAAATTACCAAAATTTATGTTTCACTAAAAAAATATTAATTATTCAATCGCAAGCCGCTGAACGAAATGTCCTTAACTCACTGGATATTCAAATTCTGGACTATTGTCATTTATGTCTTGTACTTCGATCACTATGGTTTTGCTAGTGGACCGCTCACCGTCTTCGGTAGTGACTTTCACTTGAAACGTCAACGTCTGAAATAAAGTCACGAAATGTGTTATTAGTCAGTGGTCATATAGCGGCATAGCCTGAGTATATAATGCATATCGTATAGGTACACTAATAAATTCGTAAACGAAAACACGTCTTGTGGAGGTATAAAAATAAATAAATACATTTTACGACCAAATAAAACCTCTGGGCTCTGGTTAATTAGATTTAGGACTGTAGATATTTTTACCAGGGTATATTTTTAAAAATGCATGTGCTAGCAATGAAATTTACATCGCCACGCAACACGCTCTGGCGTATGGTAAACGGGATCGCGGGAACATAATTATTTATTTTACTTGTAAGAAATGTCATCGTCGGTTACCTTGTTTTCCAGCGTTTCGTAGTCCAGTCGTTCTGTAAGTATGACTCTGCCGGCATAGTCCATGGCAATTTGTCGAGGTACAGCCGTGACAGCCTTGAAATCGTAAAGCGACTCGTTGGTAAGCACGTCGATGGCTTTCAGCTGCACAAGTTCAGTACCGATTGGCGTTTCTTCGTCCACCCGCACGGTTAAAGTGGACGAGTCACCGTCGACCGACCATCCGGAATTAGTGAACACAGGGTTTTTATTCATGTACGGCTTCACGAAAAATGTGATTTCCACCTCGTCGTACTGTTCGTGAACGTTTTCAACGGCGTTCATGTCCACCGCTCTAATGGTCAATACGATCACCGACGCCATCTGATAGCTAAGCGCCGAATTCACTTTGATCTCGCCGGTATGTTTGTTAATGCTGCAAAAGTTTATCAAAGCTATAGCGCTACGTTATGAAACATTTAAGTAAATACGACTAACTATAAAACTACACTATACAGCATAATAATATATTATGTATGTATTTTTTTTTTTAACCATCTTGTAGAAAATAACAATTTTCTATGAAAAAATATTCATGAAAAATAATACCACGCACTAACACACATTTGCATATTATGTAAAATGTATATTATATATGGTGGGAGCCCATCAAGTTTTTCCGTTATAATATTTTATGTTTTTATTATACTGATGACGGTAAAACTTTCTAACTCGTCCTGTCAACTGATTAGTATCGTGTAAATGAATATATGATCATAATATGAACATTGTGCATCCCACCTATAAATTTAACTATCTTGTATTTTCATTACTATATTACCTGAATACATCTTTGAAATTATATGAGCTTGTGTTTTTCAGTGGCAATCCAGTTTTGTCATTCGCTTTAATTGGTTCAACGATCGCATACTTGATCGACGCATTTTTATCCGGGTCGATGGCATTTACTTTGTACACGACTTCACCTATTTCCGTGATTTCAGGTACGTATACTATGTAACTTATATTATCGTCGAACTTGGGAGGTTTATTATTCACGTCTGTGACGTTGACGAACACGTCAGCGTGTGCAACCTCTCTGATAGGCAGCCCACTGTCCATAGCCATGACGACCAAATGATAATGCGACAATCCCGTTGAGTCCAAATCGAGTATGGCGCGTTCCGACACAGATATGGCTCCAGTTTTTTTATTGATGTGAAAATTATCGTTACTATTGGCCATGCTGTACTCAATCAGATGGTCAGGCCCGTCAGGATCGGTCGCTCGAACCCTCAGTATGTCCATTGTCCTGGGCGTGTTTTCCGGTATCGTGACGGAATATGTGAGATTTTTGAACATGGGCCTCTGGTTTCCTGGCACACCAACCCTGACGTAGAGGTTTGCATCCGAATGTAGAGGTGGAACTCCCAGGTCCGTCGCTCTTATCACTACCTCATATTGTCCCCGGGACGTGTGACTCGAGTTTACCGGAGAATTCAATGTCAGTTCCCCGGTGATTGGATTCACCATCACGACGCCGTTGTAGTTTGAGCTAGTGACCGAATAACGAATCATAGAATTGAGTCCACTGTCGGCGTCGGATGCCTAAATAATTATCGTGGGAAAACATTTAAATCATTCAATGATTTTATGCTATCGGAAAAATAAATGGTTATTTTTCTTACCTGAACAAAGAATTTCGGCTGAAATTCAGTACCTCCTTCTCGTATAGTTCTTTTGTATTCTAACGAATTGAATACTGGAGTATTATCGTTAACGTCTACAATTTCGACCAAAATAACTACGTGGGTGGAACGATTACCTCCATCTTTCGCTTCGAGAGTTAGAGAATATGAACTTTGCTGTTCGTAGTCGACCTCTAAAAAAAAAACGTCTAATTAATTAAATCATTGGAAAATTAAATATATTTTAAAAAATTGTTTTTAATTATCTAGATGTTATTAAGACGTTTGAATTGAAAATAATCTTCATTTACCTAAGGCATTTGAAAGGCTTTTTGATGAGTAATAAGTAATAACTAATAACAACATTTTTGAAAAATATATAAAATAAATATTTGATTAAAAATTCTCAAAGAACAGTTATTTATAATTTGAAACCAAGACACTAATGTTGCACTATTTTTTTTTTCAATTATATTGTACATATAAAAATAAATTAACGAAAAACATAATTTAAAAAAAGTAATTTAATACGTATTGTTGGATTAGCTTTCAACTCATAAAATTATAATTGTAATTACTAGGGTTCAGATTTAAAAGCAAACGTATTTTTTTTTTAAATAATTCTTAAATTAAATTTACATATTTAAACTTAATTTCTATTGAAATGGAATAAACTTTATTTTCCTTTCATTTGCTTTTTCTTTTTCTTTGATATTTTGTGTTCAATTATCAATTTATTATGATAATTTTGTATTTATGGTAAAAATTCACGAAGGCTTGAAAACACGACTCAATATCTATGTTTAAAATAATAAACTAGAAAGTACCCACATATGTAATTGTTGCTGATAGACTGTTAAAGTACTTATTCGTGCTAGCTTATCGTAGTACATAATCATTTACCTATATTATCTATTATTAAAATGTGTTTTTTATATTTCTGTCAACCCATAGTCATCAACCAAAAAAAAGGTAAGCAAGTGGGTGTCGCTTTGCTGTAGGTTACAAGTGGGTCATTGTAATAGATGGTGTTCAATTTGAATTCAATGTTATTTACAAAAACGATTCTGAGCAAAAACAGTCAGTCAGCCTATGATATTACTAAGAATATCAGATGATATTATCACAGAATAATATAATATATTATTGTGAATAAACTAATTTATATACCCATTTACGTGGAACCTTGTTTTAATTTTTCAACTCTAAACTATAAAAGTTGAATATTTATAAATTGCTAACTACAAAATAATTTTTAAATTTGATAAATGTTGTCAAAATTCGAACTTTAAATGCTTTTAAAAAGCTTTGCCTACATATTTTTAATATTTTTCAACTTCCGAAGTAACAATATATCAGGGTCATTGTATTAAATTTCCATTTCATTAAATACAATTTTATTGACAATTATGAAAAAAAAACTAGAAAAATTGAAAATTGAAAATTGAAAATGTCCGTAACCAGCGCAAAACGAGTTAAAATATTATGAAAATGTTATCAAATATGTTAATTTATAAAATAAACATATAGTGTAAATTACAAGTATCCATAGTTATTCATTTTTGAATTACAACAAAATAATAAAATCGCTACATGAGAAAGATAGAGAATATCCAATGTTGTAAAAATTTGAACTTCAATAATCGATCATAAAAATTTAATTTTACTATCCGGTAGAAATTTTTTTTATTTTTTTTATTTTGTTAAAGGTAGACATACTTATGAGTAATCTTTTATTGAATTTTTGAATCTTAGATTTAAAAAGAATAAGTTTTATGAATTTCTAACTCAAAATAATTTTCAAATTTTCGTGATTTTTCGTATTTTTTCAGACTTTAAATTTTTATAAAAATTGGGTATACTGTATACGTATGCGTATTTTATATTTTTCAACTGCCATTTTAACAATATATTAGGATACCTGCATCAAATTGTTAAGCTTTTGACCAATCGAATACAATTTTATTGATATGTATAGAAAAAAAACTAAAAAAATTGAAACTAAAAATATCCAAAACAAATCAAAATATTTTGAAAGTTGTAAGATGTATAGAAAATGCTAATACAAACAATCAGTGAAAATTACATGTACCTTCGTTCATTTGTTTAGGGTTATACCAAAAACCAAAATCCATTTTGTCGTAAACCAATTTTGGGTAAAAATTCCCGTTTTTCTTTAATTTTTTTATTCGTTTTTCCTAGAGATTTTGAAAACTACAGGGAATTTTTACCTCCTTAATGCACCAACTAGATTCACTTTTCTATCGAATAAGATATTAGAGGAGATATGCAATATTTGTAACTGTTTTCTTTTATAATTATATAGTTACGTTTTTTTTTAATATTTACATTGCTTAAAATTAAAATACCAGTAATTAGGAATCATCATTAAAGGAATCATTTTCATTATTATGATATTTGATTTTTACTATTGATACACGTGGTAAATTGTTAACACAAGATTTTTTTTGTATTAAAATTATTGTAACTAACAGAAAAGTAACTTACTGCCAGTCAAATATATACCGCCGAATTCAGGATCACTTCCAAACTTGTCCATTCCAAAACCTTGCAAGCTGTAAGTTATTTCGCCATTTATACCACTATCAATGTCGGTAGCAGTGAGATTTGCTATATTTGTTCCAGGTACCAAATTTTCCGGTATGGAGTATGCATATGTTGATTGGGCAAATTTCGGTAAATTATCATTAGCATCGAGTACGTTGACTTGCACATGAGCTGCAGAAGCTTCTTTAAACCCACCCTGAGATCCATTCAAAATATATAAATACACATTAGTTAAAAAAAATGAATTACAATGTTACTTACACTCATTTTATCTTGGTACATAGCAACAATATCGAATTCTACATCAGTTACTCCTGCGTCGTAATCAAACCCATCGTTGTCAACTAGACGAATCAGAACAGTTGACCTTCCCAAGGCCGTTTCCGGAATAATTTTAAACCAATTAGACACTCTGGAGTCTTGGGTCCTCATCACCAATACATATCTTCCATTATCCCCCAAGTCCTTGTCATTAACTATAATATTTAATCCCGGTAATGGCGTTCCAATACCTGAAAATAGTATTAAATAATGAAGGTAGTATTTTTTTTTAAATATAAACATTATTCAATCATAATAAAAGGTGGTTATTCCATCTTACTAATGTCTTCGGATACCGACGTCGTAAAACTCCTTTCGTTGAATTCGGGTTTTTCGTCGTCCACGTCTTGAATTACTACAGTGACGATCTCGTAGCTGACGTCACCAGGTAATTCGTTGTTGATCAGCTCAGTAGCCTGTAAAACGAAATACCGTTATATGTTGTCACGTTTGATTAAGTGATATTAGTCACCTTTAATCTGAACGTATAAATACCACCGGCGTCGGAAACTACTTTGTTTTCCCGATCGATAGGATTGTTGCTGGTGAATATGTAGGCAGTTCCGTTAGACTCATTCTCGACAGTGAAATATCCAAGAGAATCATCTTCTAAACTCAACACGACTGGCCTCTTGAAACCCGCGTCACCGTCTTCGGCGTTGACCTTTAGTACTTGTACGCCTGACGGCGTATTTTCATCGATCACGATCGAATACGGCGAGTTCGTGAAAACCGGACGTTCGTCCTGCACGTCCTTGACGACTACCGAAATATTTGCTGTGGACGATAGAGTGTTTTTCAGCCCTCCATCTGACGCTTTCACAGTGAGTTTGTACGATGAAACCGTGTCGAAATCCAGTGGACGTGCCAATCTAATAGAACCTACGTACTTACCTGTGGACACCTGTAAGCAACATGACATGGTAAATTAAATAATCTAATACAACTTTACATCCTATATTGGCTTCACTGCATTTACAGATTATGACCATTTGAATATACTTACAAAGTCTGCACGTTACTTACTTTTTCGGTGAGTAGGTTAAATGTCACGCAAGGTTCATTGTTTTGAATGCATGTCATAGAAATCTCGCTATTCAGTCCAATGTCTTTATCGATAACTGTCACGTTACTATATATTATGGTACCAACTCGTGTGTCTTCTGAAACACTAAACGAATATGGTCTCCCTAGGAACTCCGGTGGATTATCATTGACATCGATGATGGCTATTTCTCTTCTCAGAGACACCGTATTTGCATCGGAGTCTTTGATTGGATCGTCTAAAAAAATTTTAGTTTAACCTCTTTTTTTATTTTATTAAGCTTTTTGACACAGATTTTGATATCCAGCGTCAATTATAGTGATGTAGTGTTTACCGGTCACGCTAATGACGACTTCTAGCGAATCTAACGTTTCCCGATCCAAACGTTTCGCTAGTGTGACGACACCAGTCGATCGATCGATGTTCAGATGTTGGCCGCTCACGGTGTACGACACTTTCGATCCCTCCGGGTCAATTGCCGACAGTTTGTAAACCGACTTTCCAACTGGGGTATCTTCGGATATGGAAAACCTTGCCATGTCGCCGCCTGGGAGGAATTGAGGCGGCCGGTTGTTTGATACGCATTCTGACAGGCCGAAAACTGCCAGAAATACGATTAAAATAACAAGCCAGTTATACGCCATCTGAAAACGAAAATGGAATTAATGTAACAGGTGTAAATAAACTAATTACTTTTAAGAATAACTAATTATGGGTGATCTACCATGTTTCCCCATTGTTTGTTATTTAATATTTATGCATATACCTGTACTAAAATGTATATAGAAATAATGGTTTCAATTATTTCAATGAAAAAATAGTTGTATTGCATAAAAAATCAAAATAGCATTGAGTAAAAAAAATAAAAAAAATAGGTTAGTTATCAATGATAACTTATCATAATTAAGAAGCTGTAATAATTGGGTTCAAGTTTATTTAAAATTAAACTTGCTAGGACTCCATCGCTAATTTCAAATTAATAGATCAACATCCCATGGTAAATCACATGCTACACGAATGCCCACAAGACATTCGCGTACCACATCTAGGATTTTGTAGGGTGGATGCTAACTGTTATTAATTATCTATTTAGCACTTAGAATGTGTAATATATAAACTTTGCTACAACTATAACAATATTAATGATATTATTGTTCAGTGGCATAATTGATATATTATGTTACACATTATATAAAACTACCACTAAACCATACTTGAAAAAATAAGGTAAATACGCGGTATGATGGGTGCCTACCCCCCCCCCCCCCCCACACACACACATACACACACACAAAATCAGCAACTGGCTATAGACATCGTGGACACCGTGTTTGTGTGCCGTTCCTATTGTGTTGCGATACTCTCAGTTTCGTTAACCTCTCAACATATCGTTGCCGACGGGTCACGGCAAAAAATAACTGCACTCGGCCGTTCTCACGCGCGCCCGTATACGTAATCGGACGGTTATTAAAATCCGGTTTTGCGGGGCTTGGTCAAAACCTAGGTTCGTTTAGTGTGCGATGCGGTGGGTGCTACACGGTTTACATAATGATACGACACAGCCGCGGTACGCACGCGGTATACCGTAGAAACAATCGTATAATGTAACCACACCCTTCGGACACGACCACGACCCGTTTGTTTAGAGGTAGACCAATGGGCAAAGTATTAATACATCCCTCATCGTCTCGGTGAACAACCGGGTGGGCTATATAAATGGTATCGAAAACGGGCACGGAAAGTTAGAAGCAGCGGCTGAAAACGTCTTATATGTTATCGTGATGGCCCGGGTTTTGTCGCACGAAATACGTGTACGCCCGACGATAATCATAGTTATCATCTCTATATGCCGCTCTATTCTAAAATTTGTATTTTCTAATACCCGCGAGCCGTTTCGTACTTACCGGCGGACACATTGTTCACGGACCGTTCGCTGAAGATTTTGGCGCAAAACCAGTTTTCCAAACACAGAGCGACAATATCAACATGACACATACACACACGAACACACTCGAAATCGAAGAACGACGTTGGAAACGTGAACGCGCGCGGCTCACATGGCGGACGGAGAACCGACGACCTCAGGAATCCAGGTAGACCGAACCACTGAGGGGTCACGCAGCCGGTGGAAGACGAGAGACAGGTAAATAATAATAATAATAGTATATGTACCAGCTATCTTGCGGGCAACCGGCACCGCCACTGCGATACGGGGCAACTGCAGAGTGGGGCGAAACCGGTCATGCGCCACTAAGCGGCTCGGATCGGTACTATAATGGGTACATGCAAGATCCCCCCACCACGAACCACGCCAGTGACTCTACCTTACAGTGTCTTCGCCTTAGATCATAATATTAATACTATACTATAATATTATGATCTAAGGTCTTCGCCGACTACCCGCACCCGCGATATTATCATTATTAACACTACTGGTGTTGTTATTATTTTACCTGTCTCTCGTTTGGCATACTACGTTCAGGTTAGGTTAGGACGTACCTATACGATATTATGTCGATATTACGATGGCGTACCACTCAATAATACTGAGTCAGTACTTAGTATTACTTATGGTAAGCAACGCAAGCCCGACTACGCGTACCAAACACCAAGACGGACGATCGTCGATCACCGGCCGGCGGTCTGTAACTCGTATTGTAATTTGTAATGTTATATTATTATCGTCGTGGACAATTATTATTGTCGTATTGTCCGGCGTGGGTATGCCGCCGACGGTTCGTTGTAATATTACAATATGCATTGTGAAATAATGGCCGTGAAACCGGTTTGAGAAAAGAACTTTTTACCAAATGACGATGGTGTATTGGTGTTTAAAAACTCCGTAGGTCTATTATTTTGCCCCCGATCGTGGGCGTTCGAGGAGGTCACGCGATATGGACATATAATATTATAGTAACTTTATATTATTATTATTGTTGTTGTTGTTGTATGTGTGCCAATGATGATAAAACGGTATTAATCGCGTGCAGTGACGTATATAAGGGGGAAGGGGTACACCCCCCCCCCAAAAAGTGAATCTTAATACGCCACTGATCGCGTGAATCCCAATCGCGGTCGATCATGTCTGATGGGAATCGTTAGTGCCCGAAGCGACCGTGTTATCGATTAATTCGATTTATCATACCTCATTTTCAAGGGATTTTCCCAGGGAGTTTTATTGCGTCCTAAAAGAAGTAGGTAAGTACAAACGAACAAACAAATGATCAGCGATCAGTGCTCAATATCTGATACAAAATATCTCTGCTCAGTTAGTAGAGACTAATTTCTATGGTTTGAGTTTATTGATATGAAAATTGAACTAGATAACAATATACAATTTATCTGATCTATTATTCGAATAGGTTAACCTACACATAGATCAAATGCACGAAATATTGTACCCACTTCTATATGATTATTTACGAATGAATTTTCAATATAAACATTTTACCAGGTTTCTAACCTACACCCCTGCAGGTAATACATACTTATTACTTATTGTTTGAAATATTGAATGTTGAATCCATGACAATTTCAGTTAATATATTAGTAAATTAAACGAAATGTATTGTTAATTAATAGATAATACAGTAGAAATCACTACGGCGAACATTGGTTAGACCGAGCAAAACGTTAGGTCCTGAACACGAGATATTATAAATTATGATTATAAGTTAATATATACTTTTACCGTATATTCTAGTTGCTACAACCAGTAAAATAGGTAAAACAAATTATAAAAATGACCTCCCGGTTATTAAGAGCCGGTCGCTATCTTTTGGCCATTATTTATTTGCAATAAATTAAGAAATAATCAAAGATGTCATGACCATTGAACAGCAATCAAGTGGAGCCAGATAATGATGATTTTGAAACTGTACCATCAATATTCAATATCCTTAGAATTTTCTACATTGAGGGCTCTTGAACAATTTCATTACACTAATATGAAGATAAAGATGATGAAGGGAAAGCGTTGTTTTTATGAGAAACTTTGGTTATCACTAAATATTCCACGATGAAATGAATATTTTAAGAAATTAAATTCAAGTGTATAAAAATTGATAATTATTTGTTTTGAAGCAATAAAGATGGTAATACAAAATAGGTATTAAACGAATTCTGAATTTTTTACCTCCATTGTTTATGCAAAAATAAAATTGCATAACAAATAAAATATGATTCTTTGTGAAAAGTTAACCCATATTTAATATGTATTTTACGAGTTTCAAATTTAAAGTTCATTGTACTCACCCTCAAGGTCCAAACTTTATACCTAGGCACTTACAAATATTGCGTGAAACTAAATTCGTATTTTATTAAACCTCGTTTATTACGTGCTAATAATTTCCTCCAGATTGGTGTTACAGCCAACAGGGACAAGAAAAATCTAAAAGTGTAATTTATAAAAGATATAATATAATTTTTAGAATTTCTTTTAAATATTATACTTAATAGCCGTTATAAATATTCGTATGATATTTTTAATTGATAAATTAAAATTAATTCTATAAAAAATACTTTAATAACTACAAACTCTTTGTTTGTTTGTAAAATTGTACTTTTATTTGATTAGTTTTAAAACAATATCAATGATTTTACTTTTTATTGAATCTTAAAATTTCTCACAAATTACGTCATTAAACCCTTTATGATGATTGTTTATATAATACTTGCCAACAAATAAATAATATATTGAATAAGACATAAATTGAAAATATTATATTATATTTATACCTACTAATTAGAGTGACAATTAAACTTACCCTTAGTCTGTAGCTAATGAGTGGGCTTAAAATAATTATAAATGCTTAATTTCAAGTTTAGTGAACAACTCTTCGTTAAAGTGTATAAAAAAAAATTTTGTTGCAACAAAAAAATAAAAAATATTGTTTTATAAAATACTTTAGATTACTCTAAAGAAAAATATTCACATTAATATTTTCATTTCACAATGGCGTCGAATTTAAACGATTATTCTATGAATATGTACTATTTATATTTTTTATAATTAATTATTTTGAAATAATAAAATAATTATTATTTCACTATCAAAACTCATGGAGTTCGAATGCATCCATTTAATGTATTGCGGTCGTAAAAATATACAAATCATTTATTATACGTATGCATAGTAAACAATATAGTTAAGGCTTAAGATGTATCCTTATTGTTATTTAAAATTAACAACCTATTGTGATCACTGTCAAGAATGTCAAGGCATTCTGTAACAGGAGCAACGTAGAAAATGAAAATGGTTTAAGAAACAAAACAAATTTCTTCTGTGACAGGACGACGTGTCTGTATATAAGTCATGTTTGGTTGAAAGTTCGAATAAATAAAAATAATGTGCTTATTTATTTATTCATGGTAAAAATCCATTTTGTACACTGATGTCACTATGAGAAGAGAACAACTAGTTTCCGTTGTTTTGGTATATACCTAATAATATAATATATTAACAATAAATAATAAACGAGAAACGCTCTGAGCAGTGACACCGTTGGGTTACAATATTAAATGGGATTTCGAATCGGTTTTCACTTATATTACAGACAATCAGAGTTCAGACGACTTTTGGACAATGCGCCTGTTGCGCGTGAAAGTGTGCGGCAAAGCGTCGTCGATATGATGATAAATAATAACATCATATAATGGATAGGTACTGCAGAGACTGGCTGATGATCCATTAGACTAATCACGAACCGTGTCCATCGCATATATAATAAAGTACGCCTCTAATATGTTACACTCGGTGTAATATTTACATGTACATGTACAAATACAAATATAAGCAATAATAATAATATAATATAAGCAGCGTAATGGAGTGCTGTTAAACGCGTGCAAATAGCAAATGTGGCACACAAAACGAACACAGTCATCGTGCGCGTAAAAAGAAGTCGCACGAATTATCGTCGTTATTATGACGGGCCGGAATAAGTCACTGAACGTTTATGAATAAGGCGAAATTAGATTCACTATTATGTTTTTTTTTCCCAACCAGATTTATGGACGAATGATAACGTTATTTTATTATATATTTTTTTCATTCAACTCCCAAAGTCTGAAAACTCGAATTTCATCTTTGCCTATACTCGCGGGCCGCATATCTATAATATAATACGTATTATCATTACATTATTCCTGTTATAATAATAATAATAATAATAATAATAATATTAATAATTCTATACACGACATAGTACAATATAATAATAAATTATTGTAGTATTGTTGTGAGTGTGTGTATGTGTGTGGATATAACTGTGTGAGATTCAGTGCAACGATTCGGGGTTAACGAAAGGAGAAGGGCAATATTATTTAGCATAGTATAATATTATTATTTCGAACCGAAATCCGACGAGGGTCCTCGCCGACCGACGACAGAGAGTATTCCGTTAGAGATCGAAACTATACCAATCGCCACGGAACAGAATACCTGACGTTCTGATTACGTTATATTATGATTATTATTGTTATGGTGGTCGGGTTACGCTCATAATAAAATATAATAATAATATGTCATAACGTGTTTCGGCGGTCGAATCAACCGCGGTCGCGTTGTATATATTACCTATCATTATATAGCTACTTACAAATTAATATTATACTCGTACACCTGTTGGCAGCGGCGGTTTTATAGCGATCGAAATCGATAACGTTTTCTGTTTCACAAAATTGTGAAAACTCGATTTTTTTATGGTTTTTATTTGAGAAACCAAAAAATAACTTGATAAGACTCCATATTATACTATAATAATATATGATGTTTTTTCAATATTATACAACACGTTATACAATTTCGTACGTTGTGTTCCATCGTGACATAATATTACTGCAGTAAGTACCTACTAAGTATCTACTATATTGTTATGACTTAAAGTAACTTCAAAAACATAGTAAATACAGCTCC